TTGGCAAGACATTTAACCCAGAAGTGATGGGCCAGTGTTACTCTGTTTTCAGATCTGTGTTCTAATGTTGTTTCCTCATCACAAACAGACCTGGGTTTTTTTTTCCATCATCACGTTCCATGACAAAAATAATCCTGAGTCTGACCAAAATTAATTCAGGCCTGGAGTTTAAGCTGTGACTTGTGCTCGCGGTGACACTGGTCAAAGACATCATGGAAAATGGACCAAAAATGTGATGTTTTTTATGATCTGACTAATCAAAAGAGGAGCCACAGCGCTCACTCGCAGAGTTTGATTTGGGCCCCGGAACATTTCTGGTCATTGTGATCTGAGGAGTGAGAGGAACGACACGACTCTCCCTCCTCTCCTGTTCGCTCGGGTGGAGAGGAGGCGGGCTGCTGAGTGCCGACTCTGGAGTCTGGTTAATGTGCCCGAGGAATGACGTTGCCTGACCTCTTCCCGATGTCGGTCGTACGTGTGGAGCTTAAGTTCCGCTGTACGTAAAAGTAAAGTTTTAATGGAACTCTTCATGTACCTTAACAAGAAAAAAGGTTGTTTGCATTTTAACAGGGAGCGAGAGCCGAGGGAATGAAGAGAGAGAAAGACGTGATGAAAGAGTGAACAGACAGAACCCACTGAAAACCAGTTAATCTTCAGACTCCAAACCAGCGTCTGTGTGTAAAAGCTGCACTGCCCCTCACAACAAACACATGTGCAACATCATTTGGATGAAATAATGACCATCGACTTTTATATGTTTTGTGCCTTTATGATAAATGCAGTGTCCACACAAACGTGTGTTCTGTGCATGTGAGCGTTTGGTCTGTAAAAGTCTCAAGTGACACGCGACTATAAAAGTCACATTTTCAACTGTATCACACACAGACAGATGTTCTGGTGTGTGATGCACGTGTTGAATCTTTTGACTAAACTGTTTCTGTAGACGTTCTTGGAGACAGAACGAAAATAATCTTGACAGTTCGTCTGATCCCGACCAGGTCCCGGAACTGAGGCTTTGATAAGACTGGACTGGCCAAAAAAGCCAGGCTTTAGTTTTAGCTCTTTGTGAAATACCCCCTGGAATTATGTTTTGTTTCATTCACATGTTTAACACACAAATCCTGTGTATTTACGAGTTCTTTCCTCAAACAGAAAACAATAGAATGCAGGAAGTCCACCTTGTCATGAAGCTGTCTGTCATTAGCCTTGGAATTGCCAATCTCTACTAAACTAAAGATAAAATGTCGCTGTTAACTTGAAAACTACCACCCCATGACATCACAAGTAGGAACAGAGCATTTTCATCTTTGGAGATGTAGATAGAAGAATAAGAAAGGATTACTCAAACATGTGTGAATGAAACAAAACACAACTTTAACTATTTGAAAATGAAACTTTAGACTAAGAGAGTTTTTTCTTATCATGGTGGAAACAGAACTGAGTATCAAGTCTGTTCTTTGTATTGAAATCAGGTTTGAACTTTCGTTTTATAATTACGCTACATGTGATTTCCAGTTTCCACCTGCACAGATTGGTGTTGTCGTCTCTGTTCTTTTGTCCCGCGGCTCACACTGCTGTAAAGAGAGAGAGGCTTTGAACTGTGCAGCTGCTTAAAAATGCATGGGGCTGCTTTAGTCCTGCTTTAGTCCTGACTTTAGTGGGAGCGTTCACAAAGGGATTTCTCATCACGGAGAGACGGCAGCAGGATCTATTATACATGCGGGACGCTCTGGTTCAGATCTGGCCTTTTCCAGACTCATCACAAGGGTCACGTATTCACTAACCGACTAATGAGGAGAGAGGCTGCTTCACACGGGAAGGGTTTAGTCCTGGTTCTGTCCTGGTTCTGTCCTGGTTCTGTCCTGGTTAAGTCCTGGTTCAGGCCTGGTTTAGTCTTGGTTTAGTCCTGGTTCAGTCCTGGTTCAGTCCTGGTTCAGTCCTGGTTTAGTCCTGGTTTAGTCCTGGTTAAGTCCTGGTTCTGTCCTGGTTTAGTCCTGGTTAAGTCCTGGTTTAGTCCTGGTTCAGTCCTGGTTTAGTCCTGATCTAGTCCTGGTTTAGTTCTGGTCTAGTATTAGTTTAGTCTAGTTTAGTCCTGGTGTGTCACCTGTTTTCATCCTGGTTCAATCCTGTTCTAGTCCTGGTTCAGTCTTGGTTCAGTCCTGGTTTAGTCCTGGTCTGGTCTTGTCCAGGTTCAGTCCTGTTCTAGTCTTGGTTCAGTCCTGGTGCAGTCCTGGTTCAGTCCTGGTTCAGTCCTGGTTTTGGTCTGATCTAGCTCTTATTTAGTCCTGGTTCAATCCTGTTCTAGTTCTGGTTCAGTCCTGGTTTAGTCCAGATCTAGCCTTGGTCTTGTCCTGAGGTGTCACCTGTTTTAGTCCTAGTTTAGTCCTGTTCTAGTCCTGTTTTCATCCCATTCTAGTCCTGGTTCAGTCTGGATTTAGTCTTAGTCTAGTCCTGGTTTAGTCCTGCTCTAGTCCTGGTTCAGTCCTGGTTTAGTCCTGCTCTAGTCCTGGTTCAGTCCTGGTTCAGTCCTGCTCTAGTCCTGGTTCAGTCCTGGTTTAGTCCTGGTTTAGTCCTGGTTTAGTCCTGCTCTAGTCCTGGTTCAGTCCTGGTTTAGTCCTGCTCTAGTCCTGGTTCAGTCCTGGTTCAGTCCTGCTCTAGTCCTGGTTCAGTCCTGGTTTAGTCCTGGTTTAGTCCTGGTTTAGTCCTGGTTCAGTCCTGGTTAGTCCTAGTCCTGGTTCAGTCCTGGTTTAGTCCTGGTTAGTCCTGGTTTAGTCCTGTCAGTCCTGGTTCAGTCCTGGTTAGTCCTGGTTCAGTCCTGGTTTAGTCCTGGTTAGTCCTGGTTTAGTCTGGTTTAGTCCTGGTTAGTCCTGGTTTAGTCCTGGTTCAGTCCTGGTTTAGTCCTGGTTCAGTCCTGGTTTAGTCCTGGTTTAGTCCTGGTTTAGTCCTGGTTAGTCCTGGTTAGTCCTGGTTAGTCCTGGTTTAGTCCTGGTTCAGTCCTGGTTTAGTCCTGGTTTAGTCCTGGTTTAGTCCTTTTAGTCCTGAGTCCTGGTTCAGTCCTTTTAGTCCTGGTTTAGTCCTGGTTTAGTTGGTTTAGTCCTGGTTCAGTCCTGGTTTATCCTGGTTTCCTGTAGTCCTGTTTAGTCCTGGTTTAGTCCTGGTTCAGTCCTGGTTTAGTCCTGGTTTAGTCCTGTTAGGGAGAATCCTTGCCTGTATTCCAGCTGTTGTTTCATTTATTAACCTGAATTTCTCCAAAATCCTGTCACACTTTTGGCCCAAATAAATCCTTAAAAACCCGTGTCCCAGATTTCCAGCGAACACTGTCCCGGGGCGTCCTCCTTTTCCGCCTTTTCCTGTATTTTTCATGTAATCTTTGTTTCTTTGACAAATAGCTGTGGGCACCTGTCACTTCGAGAGGCTCCGAGGTGGTTTACTGTCAGGTGCGCTCTGACAGGTGAAAATAGAAGGTGAAATATGAACAAATTAGGGGAGGATATTTTTGGTATTTCGAGGAGATTTTGATGATTCTGGTTCAGAAATATTTAAGTTCAGACCATCAGTTATAAAGTTATACTGTGTTAGTGTTTTTATTTTTAAGTTTTTATTGGATTTAAAGTAGTAGTAGTAGTAATCGCAGCTGTAGTTGTAGTAGTAGTAGTAGTACTGGTAATAGTAGTAGTAGTGGCAATGGCCATAGTACTGGTGGTAATAGTCGTAGTAACAAGAGAAGTAGTAGTAGTAGCAGTAGTAGTAGTAGTAGCAGTAGCAGCAGTAGTAGTAGTAGTAGTAGTAGTAGTAGTAGTAGTAGTAGTAGTAGTAGTAGCAGTAGCAGTAGTAGCAGTAGCAGTAGTAGTAGTAGTAGTAGTAGTAGTAGTAGTAGTAGTAGTAGTAGTAGTAGTAGTAGTAGTAGTAGTAGTAGTAGTAGTAGTAGTAGTAGTAGTAGTAGTAGTAGTAGTAGTAGCAGTAGTAGCAGTAGTAGTAGTAGTAGTAGTAGTAGTAGTAGTAGTAGTAGTAGTAGTAGCAGTAGTAGTAGTAGTAGTAGTAGCAGTAGTAGTAGTAGTAGTAGTAGTAGTAGTAGTAGCAGTAGTAGTAGTAGTAGTAGTAGTAGTAGTAGTAGTAGTACATGTAGTAGTAGTAGTAGTAGTAGTAGTAGTAGTAGTAGTAGCAGTAGTAGTAGTAGTAGCAGTAGTAGCAGTAGTAGCAGTAGTAGTAGTAGTAGTAAGTAGTAGTAGTAGCAGTAGCAGTAGTAAGTAGTAGTAGCAGTAGTAGTAGTAGTAGTAGTAGTAGTAGTAGTAGTAGTAGTAGTAGTAGTAGTAGTAGTAGTAGTAGTAGCAGCAGTAGTAGTAGTAGTAGTAGTAGTAGTAGTAGTAGTAGTAGTAGTAGTAGTAGTAGTAGTAGTAGCAGCAGCAGCAGCAGCAGCAGCAGCAGTAGCAGCAGCAGTAGTAGTAGTAGTAGTAGTAGTAGTAGTAGTAGTAGTAGTAGTAGTTTAGTAGTAGTAGCAGTAGCAGTAATAGTAGCAGTAGCAGTAGTAGTGGTAGTAGTTGTAGTAGTAGTACTAGTAGTAGTAGTAGCAGCAGCAGCAGTACTTATGGTAGTACTGGTGATAGTAGTAGTCGTAGTAGTAGTAGTAATAGTAGTAGCAGTAGCAGTAGTAGTAGTAGTAGTAGTAGTAGTAGTAGTAGTAGTAGAAGCAGCAGCAGTAATAATGGTAATAGTAGAGATATTATTATTAGTAGTACTAGTAGTAATAGTAGTAGTTATAGTAGTATATATATATATTTTATTATAACTTTATCAAGAGAGATTTTGTGAACGTGCAGTAAAAATGGGACCGTTTGGACTTAAATGTTAAAATAAAAACAGATTGTCTCGTGTCTGACGCCAAATGGGTCAAACTCTTTCTTCACACTCGGAGCATCCGTCTTTGAAACGCCCTGTTTTTATGATTCATCTGTTCGTCCATTTTTCACATTTTCTCACATTTTTCTCTTTTCTTTCCTCAGGTCGTCCTGGTTTTCCTCCTCAGCATCGGAGCGCTGGTCATTTACTTCATCGATTCCTCTGAGTAAGTATTTTCCTTTGATATATTGGCTCCCTCGATGCTGATCCTGCGCTCCATAACTCACTCGCTTTGACAAATTGTATTATTTCTTCTTCTTCTTCTATGTCAGCACAGTAAAGAAACTTCCCATTCCCTTCTTATCGCGTTTATGAGTATGCAAAACGCGTCGGCAGCTGTAAAAATCCTCGTAAAAACGTGGAAATACAAGAAAGTGAGTTGCCGTTATCGCGCAGGTTCTTTAATCTAAGTGTATGTGCGTAGCTGATATGAAATGGGAATAATTACTTCGTTAAATTAGCTTCAAGCAATTAATTTCTATGTAAATTAAGATCGCGTTTTTTTCATGTTTTAATTAGTGTAAAATCATGCAAAAAGGATTCATATTTGTTGGGTAGAAGAACAGAGACTTGCAGTTTCAGTTTTCTTTGAGGGAATATGGAGAAGGGAGAGTAAATATATGATTAACAGCTACAGTTTCTTTACTTTTAGTTCAGTAAAGTTTGGCCGTTCCACAGTTGAAATGATCCAAATGATTCTAGTGAAGGTGTGTGGAGTTTAAAACACAGAGCTTATTGTCCTGATCCCGCTACATTTCAGAAACTCAGCAGAGCCCAGCCTGGTTAGTATTTGGATGGGAGGCCACTGGGAAAATCAGGTGCCACAGGGGGGCGCCAGTCACAAAAAACTGTTGTTGTGTCCTTAGGCAAGACATTTAACCCACATTGCCCAGGGGGTCAGCCTTATCATCAGACGAGCCTCTAGTCAGAAAATCCATGTTCAGGTAGTGTTAAAAGTAATAAATATATTAAACCTTTAAAATACAGCAAAAATGTTTGAGGAAATAATGATTTGGGTGGAAATGTCTGTCTTAAGTGTAACGGGGTTAATAATTGTCTGATTTTGAGGCAACAACTTGCAAAATGTTCAGTAATTCGAGCTCTACAACCTTCATTTCAATTTTTGTTTTTGCCGGCGTTTGTCTGTTTGTTTGTTTGTCTGTTAGCAACATAACTCAAAAAGTTATGGACCGATTTTGATGAAATTTTCAGGATTTGTTGGAAATGTGAAAAGGAAGAACTGATTTCATTTTGGGGGTGATCCGGAAGAAATCCTGGATTCTGGATCACTTTGAAATTTTAGTTCACATTGTGGTAAATGGGGCCAAAAATTTTGTTTCTCAATATCTCGGTTAATTATTGACCAAACCCCATGAAATTTGACTCAGGGATGGACAATGGGATCCTCTTTCATATTCCAAAGGCTGATCCGGATCTGATCCAGAAGACTGATTTTATCGCAATTTATATAAAAAATGGGGGGAGTCCTTGGCGGAGGTCTGCGCTCTCTGAGTGCTTTTCTAGTTTTAAATCTTTTTCTTTTAATACAGCATTGGTGGGTTTGTAAACCAACAAATTAAGTAATGTTGGCCTTAGCTAATGCTGTTATGCATGATTATATGTTTTCCTGTCCATATCTCTAAAAATTTTGATGTTGCAGCCATTTTTAATTGGTAAACATCCAAAAGTTTATTAATTCTTCCCTGATATCCAGGGATTATTCCCTGTTGCTTTCATCAAATATATATTCAATTGTTCAAGAGAAATGTTGCTGACAAACCAATAGAAGAGGTAATGATTTTCTGACTAGTGGGCTTTCTGATGATAAGGGTGTAACCATTGCCTAGTATAATAATAATAATAATAATAATAATAATAATAATAATAATAATAATTCAAACAGCAATTAAAACACACATAATTGAAAACAATCAAACAGTGATATATATATATATATATATATATATATATATAAAATGAAATGTGTTTCTCGCCCTCCACGGTGGTTGGTCTCTCACCCTCATTCAGCTCAGGTCCTTTACCAAAGGCCTGGGAGCCTGAGAGTTCTGTGCAGTATCTTTGCTGTTCCCAGCACTTTTCTAGACTGAGATTTCCGTTGTTTTTCCCGGTATCTGTTGTAGTCACTCTTCCAGTTTGGGGGTTACGGCCCCGAATGTTTTCGCTATTTTGGAACAGTGTTTCCAGTTTGAGAGAAGAACTTAATTTTGCAGGGTTTGTGTGTTAAACTTGTGTGAATGAAACAAAACACAACTCCAGGTTTGTTTGTGATGAGGAAACAACATTATAATAGATCAGAAGATAGCGTCACGTGGCCCCTTTAAGAGTTAAATTAGGCCAAAACAATAGCTCATTTTTAAAATATGTTTATATCTATCAATTTATTTTCTTTGATTTGAAAATAAATCTAAACTTCATGACCTTATTTAATACCACTGTCGTCTCGTCTGGTACTGAACCCTAAACCAGCGGAAGAGGTGTTTCCCGTACAAACAATCCCCGTCAATCATCGGGAGGAAGAGGAAGAATGTGCTTTACTCCAGCTCTGATCCCCTATAAAGTTACGGGGCCAAAGCTAACGCGCAGGAAAAGCTATCAAGATAACAACACGCTAACAAGCAACAGTGTAAAGAGACACGGCTTTGTACAACTGAAAAATGTGTCGCAAAAATGTGGAAATTGCAGTGGTTTCAGTTCGCTGCTAATGGCGAACAGTGTAACTTAGTCCTTCGATATACATGGGATTCTTGCATTAGTTTAGCAGTTCAGATTTCATTAATTTACAGCCTCTGTGTTGGTTTCTACATTGGGGTTTCTCCGGTGAGCTACTGTACCTTTACAATCTACGATCTGACAATCAGGTTTTGACAGTCTGGATTTGTTGAAAAATACCTAAATAGGACCGTGAAAGCTAAATCAATTTTGTATTTTTTCTTTAGTTTTCAGATGATCTTAAAAAAATGTCAGTGTTTGCTAATAGACCTTTTTCGCAACAGCTTGAAGTTTCACAATGTAGGGTAAACGTAACTCCCGGTTAATAGATTTTTATGGCAAAATATCGGTGTAAATGTCTCGCGTATTTACCACCAGCTTCATAAATCTGCCCCGATCAACAAATCTTCAACCAACAAGGTCGACAGAGGAAATATTCTATTTATGAAGACACACAACTATCATGGTAAAAAAGATGAAAACTTAAAGGCGAACAACAACAACGCATAGTAACTAGTAACTACTGAACAAAACTAATGTTATGGTCATGAATAAAACACAAGTAACTTGTGAACTCAGACTGACTCTAGAATTAAAATAAAAAATTAATTTCATGATGTAGATACTCGCAATTAGCATAGACAGAGAGATTTGTGCAGTTTAAATGCGAGACATTTAATCTGTAAACATCTTTCACTTCGTGGAAACCGTCTGACCTCGCAGTGTTAGGATTTGTTCGCTCGACAGTAGGCGGGTACTTTTTATCATTTAACCAATCACTTCTATTTGTTGGTGACATATGTAATGCTCCACTAACGGGAATAACTGGTATATTCAACTTTTCCCAAATCCCGTAGGAAGAAGAGCAATAACGTCTTTCTCCTTGATAAAATTCACCAAACATTCTCTTTATTCCGGCTTTAAATCCTCGATCTTGGGAATCGTTGAACTGAATATACGGCTCTTCGCTGATTGGCTGGTGCCTGAACTCGCACTTCCGGGGTTTTTGCGAACCGTCTAGTGTATTCTGATTCCTGACCTAGTCACTGGAGAGAAATGAAACTGAGTGGAGGCACTAGGTGGTACCAACCTGGCTAAATATCTACATCATGAAAACAATTTTAAAATTTTTAATTGTAGAATCAGTCTGAGTTAACAATTTACTTATTAATGAATTATTAATTACTTACGGAGTAGAAAAAGGAATGTAAGCCCTCCGGTTAAATGAGCACTTGTATGTGTAAGTTGTTGATCCAGTGCAGCACTCCAATATTGTTATTGTTATTTTTACTTATTACTTATGTTTTATTTATTACCATAATTAGTTAGTTTTACTCAGTAGTTCACTAATGCGTCGTCATCATTCACCTTTACGTTTTCTTCTTTCTTACCTTGATAGTTGTGGATAAATTCTTCATGGACAGAATATTTCCTTCGTCGACTTTGTTGGTTGAAGATTTGTTTATGGAGCAGATTTGTGAAGCTGGTGGAAAATACACGACACATTTCCACAGATATTTTGCCGTAGAAAAGCATTAACGTACGTGACGTTTACCCTACATCGCGGCACTTCCAGCTATTGTGAAAAAGGTCTATTGTGTCACCATGGTAACTGATGAACTTTCCGTCAGAAGAGGCACACGTATAGAACACCCCCAGTGTGATATTACTGCAAAGTATCAATAATAATTTGATGTACAATATGTTGCTACAGAACAATATTAGTGAGGATATTTTAACGTCTCTGAATGACAGCACGTAAAAACCCCTCCTCTGAAACATCTGATACTTTAAATCGATTCGTAAGAGCATGTTTTTGTCTAACTCGATCTTATTTTCCAAAAAGGAGAATCAGTAAAAACAATAAAAGCTCCCATTTCCCCTCTCCTTACTGCGGGACGGTCTGAGCTGGATTGATTTACTGTCCACAGACTCTGGAGCTATAATCCCGTCTGCAGTATACTCGTACGTGTTATTCATTTCTATTGTTGATGTTTCGCTGTGACTTAAAATAAATGGGAACGTCACCATCTGTTGGACTTTATATGTTTGTGTTCACATCACATTTTAATATTCAATCCTGATAGTTTAAAACCGAGCAGGAGACAGGATAAAATTTATTCTATGGTGAAATTTATCACGCAAAATTTACTCTTTTGAGCTTTAAGTCGTGTTATAATGTTGTTACCGCCTCAAAAACAGACCTGGAGTTGTGTTTTGTTTTATTCACAGATGTTTGAATAGTCTTTTATTATCCGTTTGTCCTTTTGTAAACGTGCACAGTGTAACTTTTCTGGTGGAGGGTCCGCTCGTTGCTCGTTTCCGTGGAGATGTTATTACGGAAGCCGAGGGGGGTCACGACAAACGCAAACGCCGCAACAAATACAAATGCGACGACACGACAAAAAGCCACAACGAACCAAAAAAAGCCACAAC